GCGCAACAAAGACGTTGCGATCTGTTAGTGGAGGTGAATTGTAACATCGCAGTTTCAGGAAATATGGTGGTGCATGCACAGAGGTTTAAAAAAATTAGTTTGGCCACCTATATCACCAAAGTGCACTTCTATTTTCGTGCAAATATCCCGAGAGAACTTCACATTTATGCATGCTTGATAATATACTTTTTACTTCACATCTAAAACAGTATCTATCATAAAACAAAGATAATATACTTTTTTCTACTTGAGAAATGAATAATTTGATTTTTAGGAAAGAAAAAAAACAAAGATGATAATACAATGTTGAAAAAATCTAATCGATTAGTTTCCTTTATATAGATAAATATATCACAAATGATTAATGAAATACAATGTATTCGTTTTTTCTCAAAGGTAAGATGTCCAAGGAAAAGTAACAAATGTATGCAAAAAATCCAAGAAAAAACAATATAGATCGTCTACTAAAAGGGTCATAACTATACATGATTATAAATACCATCACAAGATAAAATAGAGTTGTATAAACACTTAAAATGAGTGGGAACAAGCAAGTATGCGTGTCCATCTTAGCAGTGATGATTTTGATGCTATCAATTTCCCAAATCACGAAAGGTAATAATGATCTTGCGTTTGCTCCAGTGTCGGAGAAAGGGTTGTTGCCAAAACCAGTGTCTTGTGCAATAGACGCAGAAAAAATTCCAGGTTGTGTCGAAGCAGTGAAGCATTTCAAATTTAAAAATGTAAAAAAAGAATGTTGTTTCGTTCTACTTGGTCTTACCGAAGATTGTTTTGGAATTTTGTTTCCTATGCGTTTTGCGTATCGTGAAATGCTTAAGATTACATGCAAAATTATAGGCTTTAAGCCACCTTCTTATTAAGTTGTTCTTTTTGTTTTTTAATGTAACACAACTTTAATTTATGTAATTCGTATTTATAATAAAAAAAAAATCATGGGCATATTTATTTAAGATGATGGACGGCTACTTGCTCTTGGGTGTGTCAAAAGAGATTACCCAACCCAATCTATCCTACGACCGAATGGGTTGAGACACAAATTCTTTATGAGTTTACAAATGAGTTTGAGTCATCCCATGAACCTATTTAATTTGATGGGTAAATACTAAAAAGCTATATAGATCTACCCAAGAAAATAATAATAACTAACTAATTAACAATTTTCATAAACATAATAACAATTAATTAAGATTTATAATTATAATATATTATCATTTTACCATACTTTATTATCAAAGACATAAAATCGTCATATTCCATCATCATCATACCACCATCATATTATCATCATCATCACATCAGTATATATCTATTCTCCCGTTTTGGGCAATTATATAACACAATTGCGTTTTTGTTGAAATTTTTAGTGAAAGTTTACTAATCCACGTTTTAGAGGAAAGTTTTAAAGAATCATAACGTACAAATTTTGGATTCTCATTTTTGGTAGATAAACTAAGTATTTGTATTGGAAAAAATACGGATACATGCGTTTGGCAAAAAATTACGGATTCATGTTTTAAGCGAGAAAATTAGAGATTTTTCTTTTTATGGGTAATTGTGGATTCCCAATCTAGCGTAAAAACTATGGATTATCGTTTTTAGCAGGAAACTCATGATGATGATACTGGTAATATGATTATTGTAATGATAGTATGATTATGATGATGATTATGATGATGGTGATGGTGATGGTTGTATGATGATGGTATTATGATGAGTATGATGATGATGATGATAGATGACAACGGTATTATGTTGATAATGAATTAATTGATGGGTTAATGGTTAATCCATAAACCCATTACAACCCAAATCAAATAATTCATTAAATCATTAATCCATAAAATGTTTAAGGTCAAAGTATTTCAAACCGGTAAAGTTAATGGGCCGGATCGTGTCAGATCAGATCGACCTATAAAATTTAATTCATTTTGATATCCTTACATGTCTAGTTAATTTGACACAAGTTTTTATTACTCAAGATTAATTCAAGAGAGAAAAAAAAAGGAGATTATAACCAATATCGAGGCGAAGAAAATAATTTTTTGGCCGAAATAAGATAGAATCATTTTTTTTTCTCTTTGAGTGAATGATTATATTAATAGTCTTATCTGTCATGTGCTTATATATTGGGTAGAACATTATTTTTTCTTGTCACATATGTGTGTAGCAATATTGAAATGAGTTTTATATGATCACTCATGTGGCAGTTGGCCGACATGCTAATCCTCAAATATGCGAGAGTAAAGACGATAGTATATGCTTTAGAGGTTGTAGAGTTCCTTTAGTTTTGTGCTTTTTATATTTTCAATGGACATGGTATACCAAGATTAGCCTTATACATGTTCTTGCCATGTATGAAACAACATGATTAGTTTACATTTGAAAGCTCTTACATTAGGAATTTAGGGTATTCTCTAATTATAAGAAATATATCCTCTTAAGAATACCCAAAAATTCTAAAATAGTGTTGAGTTGATTTACATGGTTTTTGGACTTGACAAGCAATTGGAGTGGGGATTTTATTGATTGTTGGTTATATATCAACATAATCTTGCTATAGTTAATGGTTAACAAATTATTCAATGTCTGTTATTTTACATGTATTCTTAAACACAACATAGACGAAACACTTAGGAAAAAAAAAAACAATCTTTGCAAATATCTTGTAGAACAATATAACATTCTTTGATGATATATTTTTGATCGAATTAACATCTCCGATGCTCATCTCTATTTTATAGGTAACTCTATTTTAAAGTTGATTTTGCTATAATATATGCGTAGAGTTGCCTCTAAAATAGAGGGAAAAAAATAGATATTGGATTACTGTATTTATAGAGTAAAAAATAAGTTTACTCTATTTTAGAGACAATTCCAAATTAGAGACAACTCTATTTTAAAAGTATACATTGGAGCAAAATGAACTTTAAAATAGAGTTGCCTTTAAAATAGAAGTGGACATTAGAGATTGTGTTAGTTCATTGGCTCACACAATCTGAAATTGTTCTTACGTCCATCACATAAGATACTGGCTAGATTTGACAGCAATCATTTCTCCATCATTATTATCCCTCTTATTTTGAGAAACATATAGCATTACTACCATCACTATTAATATAGACACACTCTTTGCTTGTTCCCACCCATAGTTAACACTATGTGTTTTATCTTGTGATCACTAATATTACTATGATATTGTTCCTCTTACTGTATTTAGAAATTTTTTTGTTATGTATTTTTAATAGACTATTTATATTGCCTTTTTCATGGATTGTGTAGTTAGTTGTCCCGAACATCGTAAGTTCCGGAGAAAAAAAAATACAACATATTATAGCATTAACCATTTTTTTTGTTGGGTCAAAAGTAATGTCTTAACCATTTTACATTTATGATAAGTTTATACTATTTGTTTAAGGAAACTAATTTTTGTAAAAATTATATTTCCATTTTACTATAATTATTTGAGTTATAATAAGGGAAAATTGGAAATAAAGGATATCTACTTAAAAATTTGTCCATATACACCTTTTTTTGTGAGATTGTCAGTTTGGACGATTTTACCCTTACACCCTAATTTAAATGTTTTTTAAAAAAAATAATCATAAAAACAGGTAGATATACAAGAGTAGAGGTGATTTGAAGTGAAATTTTTTAGATTTGGTTTAAAAAAAGTTGATTTTTTGATAGATAAAGTTTCATCTAATTTTGGTAGAACACGTTTTCTAGAGTTCTGCGAAACTCAGAATGTGTATTCTGCATTTTTGTACATGTTCTACATATTTCAGACTAGATTTCTGTTCTGAGAATTTTAGAAATCCGAAAATCATATATCTAAAATATTTAGAACATGCATTCTACATTTTCCTCTATGTTCTAAATATTTTAGAATAGCCGTTCTAATAATTTCTACATCTTCTGCCATCGTTAGAAATTGTAATCTTCGTTTAGAATGTAAATTCTACGATATTGCAGATTTCGATTTCTGTAAGTTTTAGAATGCTCTAAATATAGAAAGTAAATCTTCAGAAAAGGAAACAAAATATTTTTTTTAGATTACGATTTAAATGAATATTTTATTGTTTAGATTACGATCTACAAGATGTAGAAGTTGTTGTCTACGGTTTTTAGACTAAGATTAAAACCTAAAACGTTTTCTAAGAACTTATTTTTCTTAAAAATATATAACACATACAAATACATACACTAACCCGAATCAAAAGAACTTAAAAAACTACATGCTATTAAAATTGAGACATGTATATCTCAATAAATGGAGACATATACACGATTATACACAAAGATGATTCAAAGAGCTAGAGGACTTAATAAATTAATTAGCAATTAAAATTTGGAGTTTTACAACAAACAAAAATTGAAATCTCTAAACGAGTAACACTAATTTAAAAGAACATAACCAAAAATATAGAGGAACATGTGAAGCCCGAAACAACAATTCTCTGAAACAATCTTCATAAACTCTGTTTAAATCAATGAATTTCAACACAAACACATATACATTAACATGAATCAAAGAGATAGAAGACTTAAACAATCTACATGCAATTGAAATATTTCCAATGACGATATGTGGATGGCTTTAGTTAAAAAGATTTACAATTGACTTAGATGTAGAAGATTTACAAGAGACAAAACCTATAACTAAAAAAAAAAACAAGACACGTTTACAAAGTTTACAAAGTGTAAATAGATTACAAAGATTTATTTTTAAAATCAAATTTTTATTAATTTTGAGAGAAAATGAGGGTAAAATTGGGTTTTTTTATTTTCAAAAAACCTATTTGACCAATCTACAAGAAAAAGGGATATATGGACAAGTTTTTAAGTAGATATCCTTTATTTCCAATTTTCCCTAATAATAATGTACTATATCACAATTACAAAAGCGTCACTTGTGGATATACATTCTCTTTCCTTCTTTTACCAAGAATAATCCGTTAAATACATATGGTTAAAGCTTAAGGAAATATCTTGCTTTCTTGTCTTGGAAGAAAAGTAACTTTTATCAGTTTAGTTAAGAACTTACCATAAAGCTTCACAAAGGCCAGAAGGATGTCAGAGTAGCACATCCCCAAGTTTTAGTTTAGAGCACTGAAATTGAGAAACAAATCGATTTTCGACAAGTTAGAGGAACGATATTGGTTTGGAGTTATATAAAAAGTAGACAGCGAAACTGAAGCGTCATGCTTACTTGTAAATGTAAGAGACGATTCCAAGGATCACACATAGAAGAACAATGTCGATGCAGAAGTTGCGGCTAGATCTCATCTGAAATCCCCACACGATTTTAGCATAGAGTTGTGATGAGACAGTAATAATAATAGTAATTCTTGATTTCAAGAACCGTTTCTGTTTTAATTTTACCTGCACAAGCTGTTTCTTGAGCCGAACATTGGTGTTCTTCAAATCTGAAGTTGCTCCATCGACCTACAACAATTATGGAGAAATTATATGTCTAGCGTTTTGATAACACCACCTAACCATAAGATCAAATCTAAAACTAGGGAAGAGATAAACACCAAATCTTTTTATCCTACTCCTTTCAGAAAAATAAACAAAAATTAGACCAAAGCAAACTATTAACCCAAACGGATCAAAGTCCAAAAACACCAACGTTTATTTTAACTGAATAATGAGAAGAAAGAATCTCACCTTTGTTTCCATTTCTTCCATCAATGGGACTTGCTTGTCAAGTTCCTGAAATCGAAAAACGTAAATCTCCATCGGATGGTAAAAACTCTTTTACATGGGGAATGAGTAAACAACAAAACCTCATTCATGTCACGCGCTAGGTTCTTTAGTACATCCAAACCTTCAGATATGACATCAAGACCTTCATCCTAAAGAAAAGACAGAGCATAAGCTTATTCGAGTTCTCATTGTCGAAAGACAAAATAAAAGCTTATGGATGAAATTCACATACTTGTTTCTTTTTTCTCATCTCATATTCTTGTCGAAACTGGCTAGATTCTTCAGTTTGCTGGAAAAATCCATCATCCATGTCTTCCTCTAATAGTAAGTCACCAGAGAAGAAAACAAAACTCATATTTAAATATACACTCTTGATGTTCTTGATCAAGAAAACTAAAGAAACATTCACTACCAGACATATCAAACTTGATGTTCTTGTTAGGTGCAGAAGCACCTCCCCACTCATTATTAGCTTGTTTTGCTCCATGTTCATTCCCATCAGGTACTGCTTGAAGCCTATCGGCTAACGCGATAACTAGATCACAGCGCGATTCTCGTTCCTCTCTTGTAAGCCCTTTAATCTATATACAATGCAAATTAAAAACCAAAGTTTTAACACAAGCATTGATACTCCTCATCTTGACTCATAACTAATCAACAATAAGTAATTAATTACTTAAACCTTTTTAACAGCGAGTTTCTGCAGCTTAACAACATCTTCAGCTAAACGCGCTTTTGTCCTTCGAACCTCAGCATTCATAGCCACTGCGGCTGCTCTATTCTTCTCCGTTGACGCCATCTCCGCTTTCTACATAGTTTGATACAAAACTTAAAACTTAATAACGCTAAGAGTCACTAAAAATGAAGCAAATTAATATTTAAATTCTAACTAATATATAGTCAATAAAATCTAAACAAATGCAATAAGAAATATTTCATATTCTATCAATTCTCACGTTTTTTCCTATCTCATAATTTTTCTTAGCTAAATAAATATATTTTTCTCTCGATCATCAACATAAAATCAATCTATAAGCATGAATCTTGACATTCAAAAGATTAAAGAAATTTTAAATCATTTTGTACATTCAAAATCCAGAACAATCTAGGGTTTTCAAAGAGAAAAAGAGAGAGAGTAGGAGACGAACACGAAGAACAGCTTCAATGTCGGAATCGATGGAAGTAAAGAGGCGAGAGAAGGCATCGTCTCCGGAAGCGCCGATCTCACGGTGTTTGTCGACGTCGTACTTGTCGTATTTTTTGCAAATCTCGTCGACTCTGAAGATAATATCAATGACCGGCATATTTACGATCTTCTTCTTCTTCTTCTTCTCGAACGTCTCCGATTTGCTTCTCTATTTTTTTGTTCCTCTTCGTTCTCCATTTTTGGATTCTGTCTTTCAGAAACGAGACGTGTAGCGTTAACGGCGGAATTTAAAGTATTAATAGTTGGAATTTTTCTTTTTAAAGATTTCTTTAGATTGTTTTTCTCCAACCAACAAAGATATTACGAACTCTTCAAATTTCTTAACGTAGATAAATTATTACTCCCTCCGTATTTTAATAATTGTCGTTTTAGAATTTTTATTTTTTTGAATTAGATGTCGTTTTCAAATTTCAATGCAAAATTTCTTACTTTTTAATGTTTTATGATGTAACATTAAAAAGTAACAAATTTTGCATAAAAATTTGAAAACGACATCCAATTCAAAAAAATAAAATTTCTAAACCGACAATTATTAAAATACGGAGGGAGTATTCAAAAAGGAAAAAAAAAAAAAAAAAACGTTGAGAAATTTTCACCTAAAAACGTGTTGCTTTTAGTAATACGAAATTTTTAATATAAATTATATTCGGCCCATATTGGTAATGGGTTATATGGGCTTAGGTTAATTTACAATGTGCGGATTCAACATTTTAACAGCCCAATACTAATTGAAGTCTAAATGATGGATAAATTTATACCCGACGAGGTTGGAAATTTTTCTCTAAAATGTTCTCATCATTTGGGTATAGTTTAAATCCAAAGTTTAAAGCATTCAATTTTTTTATTTAATAATTTAATAAAGCACAATAAAAAAACCTTAGAATTAGAACACTCGATTTATTTTTCAACTATTTTGAAAACTGTATAAGCTCAAGAAATTGTACGTATATTTATGTTTGTTCACAGATTAGATAGAATCCAGAAAATTTGACGATGTCATATAGAATTTGGTTTGCTTTCATGTTGTGGAGTAAGTAATGATTTTCTTTTAACAAAAAAAAAATGTAAGTAATCATTTTTCTTTTTGTCATTTCCTTTCTTGTATATTGTTTTATAAAAATATATTATTTCATTGATGTGGACCATGTGGTTGTGAAACCGAAAAAGAAGGTGAATTTGGTAGATCGCAAAATTTGTTGATAAAATTAAGAAAGTATCAATAATGTGATTAATGGTCATTAAATAGTATATTAAATAACTTTGTTTTACTTGCATTTAATTATTACTGTAAACATAATCCTATACTATTATTTGGGGAGTACATTTTACAATTACCCTTAATTAACCTTTCCCTTTGTAAGAATTTACTTAAGAATGCCATTACAAAAATCTTCTTTTAGAACAAATTTCATTCACTTCATTAAGGTTATTAAAGACAATTAGCACACTATCCATTTCAATAAAAGAGGGTCAATGGGTTTTAGAATGGGTTTAAGAAGATATCATAAACAATAAGATCTAACGTGGTCTATCCTAAATTTGGCTTTATTATATTATTTGCTTTTTAATACAAAATTTATAATTTAATTTTATAAAAAAAAATTCACACCCGTGCTATAGCATGGGTTATGATCTAGTATATTTGTAACGTGCTATTTTGTTGTGTGAACCTCTAATTTATCAAATGAACATCTGTCAAAACTAAACTATAAATTTAGAATTTATAATCTTAAGTTCTATTTAATAAATAAAACGCCCACTAAACATATCACAAAAATCTCATACTCCCTCCGTTCTTTTATAATTGATGTTTTAAGCTTCTAATTTTGTTCCTAAATAGATGATGTTTTCAGTTTTCAATACAAAATTAATTGCTTTTTTATTGGTTTTGACGATTTATATTCTGTAGAATGTTTTTTTATTAATTGATTAAATAATAAATGATGTTTTAGTTTAGAAGTAAACAAAAATTAAATGATTTCTTAATTTATGTGCATTCTCTTAAAACATCACTTATAAAATAACAGAGGAAGTATTTTGTAAAATTGAACGAGAAAATGGCCTATAATCGCAGAAAACCTGGAAACTGTTTTATCCTTTCTTGTACTTTTGTCGGTTTTCACCATGACACCATCCATTTTTGTGGTTAACTAATTAAACATTTTACTTATCAAGTTTACCCTAATACTAGCATAATAATAATAATAATAAGAAGTCTTACCAAGTCAAACTTCAAAACAGGGCAGTACGCCAGTACGTATGAAGTGGGACTTGGGATATAATGTCACATTTAAAGCTTAACGTCAGTGTTTACTAGAAACTTTGACAAGTTCTTGGTTTGCAACAATGATAGCGACAATATTAATATATATAGTTATATTGACCATCACATATCTAATATCTTCATCTTCTCAACTAAACATATTAGTCACTGGAAAATATTCGAGATGACGGAAAAAGAAAGCAAACACTCCGCGGAGGCTGGCGCCGTCCGATCCCTCCAAGAAACTCCCACTTGGGCTCTTGCCACCGTTTGTTTCTTCTTCATCGCCGTTTCCATTTTTCTCGAGCGTCTCATCAATCTTCTCTCCACTGTAAGTACAAATTTGTATATTATAGGATCATTACTTCTTCTATACACTGTTTTAATTTTCATTTATCTCTTTTAAGTTTTTTCTCTTGGAAAGCTAGAGTTTGTTTACGCTTGCAAGAATTTACTTGGAGATATTCATATTTTATAAAAGATGATTATATAGTGGAGATAGTAAATATGTTAGTTAAGAAAACAAATTGTATTTTAGACATTTTCATAATAGCAGCTAAAGTTCCATTTTCGAGATTCTCAGTTCGAATCTTTGGATACAAAATATTCGAATCATCTCTTCAAAAGTGCATTCAAATAATACTTAAAAGGACTTATATATATCATATATGTACAATATGTTTATGTTAGTCTACTTTGTGGGAATAAATTATTGTACAAAACACGTCTATAAGTCAAAAAGAGTAAACTCTAATTAATATGAGTTGAAATCTAACAAAACAACAAAAGAATATGAGTTTTTTTTATAACTAAAAAAGGAAATATGAGTTGAAAACTTCAACGAAACAAAAAATATGAGTTAAAATTTATTCTTATCTTTTTTTCTTGCAGAGACTTAAGAATAATAGAAAAAAATCGCTACTTGAAGCTGTAGAGAACCTCAAATCAGGTAAAAATCTGTCTGTTGCATTCGTAGAAAGTTCAGTTGGCCAATCTTTTTATACATTAAAAGCTCACTCATATTAGATTAAAAAAAAATCCTAAATTTTGAAATATCTTTTCCAATTTTATTAATCTCTGAATTTTTAATGTTCTGTAAGGGCAGTTCTAATGGTGCTAGGATTCATGTCACTAATGCTAAATGTGACTGAAGGAGAAGTTTCGAAGATATGCATTCCCATAAAGTATGCCAATCGAATGTTGCCTTGTCGTAAAACCATAAAATCACATGATGATGTTAATGGAGATGATGATGATGATGATGATCATGACAACAGCTTCTTTCATCAGTGCTCTTCCAAGGTTCTTCTTGACCCTTAAATCCTTACCATCATTTTTCAGTTGCAACAATTCTGTTTTTTTTTTTTTTTATCAATCACACTTTTTAATTTGCTTAAATTTGATTTATGATTTTTTAGTTTTCACAACAATTTATTGCTAACTATTCTACCATTTTGTAGTATTTAAATCAGAGTTTCTATGCTTATCTTAAGAAAAATCTGAATCCAAAAGTTTTAACATAGCTTCTTGAAATCCAAGATGGATGGAGAGACGAACGAAGAATCCAAAAATACCCACTAGTTTACGTTGACGTTGACTTGGTGTCTTGGACATTGTCGTTACTCGTTAGCTAGAAGAGTCAACTAATCAAGAAAATAGGTCCCAAAAAAAAATGTTGAGTTATGAACAAAAACATCAAGAGTATGAATTTTTTCGATTAAACTAATTCGATTTTATAAAATAAAATTTGCAGGGGAAGACGTCACTAATATCACAAGAAGGGTTGACTCAGTTGAGTTTCTTCTTCTGTGTGTTGGCATGTATGCATATTCTCTGCAATCTTGCCATTCTTCTTCTTGGAATGGCCAAGGTACATATTTATATATTATGCAATCAAATATTATAACATTACAATTATTTTTTTAAGAATTTGTGACATGGTTTTTAATAAATATAGTCAATTATTCTCTCTTTGATTAAAAATAAAATAAAATGTAAAAGTCATATCTATAGTAATATAGTATTACAACATAATTTGTGTTTTTAGATAATACTAATTTTTATCATAGTATTGAGTATTTGAGTCTATTGGTAACATATAAACTTTTTATAAACGTAATACATATAGATGAGAAAATGGGAATCGTGGGAGAAAGAGACCCAAACAGTGGAGTATCTAGCAGCAAACGGTGAGTTTTTAGTATTTTCACTTCTAAATTACATGCAAAATCAATAATTTTTAATTCGATAAAATTATGTTAATTAAGTTAATTAATATTTTATGTAATTTAAAGATCCGAATAGGTTTAGAATAACAAGAGATACCACATTTGCTCGACGACACCTAAGTTCTTGGACTGAAACATCGATTCAACTTTGGATTGTAAGTTTGTACATATTCTTGATCTTTTATTTACTTTATTAATAAACATATATCTCCATATAAATATTAATAATTTTGTTTCTTTTTCTTAGAAATGTTTCTTTAGGCAATTTTTCAACTCGGTGGCGAAAGTCGATTACCTCACACTTCGTCATGGGTTCATCTTTGTTAGTATCTCATTTTTATCAATGAATAAATATTTAAAAATAAATAAATTTTAAATCTAATATGTTCTTTTGAATATTGATGCAGGCTCATGTATCGTCAAATAATGCTTTCAACTTCCAAAATTATATACAAAGATCTTTACATGAAGATTTTAAAACCGTGGTTGGTATAAGGTAGACAAATTTGTGAATTTTTATAAGTAACAATATCATCTTCTTAAGCATATAAATCAAATTAACTTGTTTTTTTTTTTACAAATTATGACAGTCCTTTAATGTGGCTAACTGTGGTCATCTTTATGCTCCTCGACGTTTATGGTAACTTAATTTAGATTTTTATAGCTTAAGTTAAAATAACTATTAGTGATTATTCATTTTTATCTTATTTTTTTAATCATCAGGTTGGAGAGTATACTTTTATATGTCATTTGTGCCACTAATTGTAAGTGCTAATTCAATCTAATTGAATTTTATGTGTAACTCAAATTATTGATGAATTAATATTGTCATGTAGATAGTGCTAGTGATCGGGACGAAACTAGAGATGATAGTAGCGAAAATGGCTGTCACAATTAAGGAGAATAACAGTGTAATTAGAGGAACCCCTCTTGTTGAGCCAAACGACACGCATTTCTGGTTTTCCAATCCTCGTTTCCTCTTAAGCATTCTACACTACACGCTGTTTCTGGTAATCTTTTACAAACTACATGTCGTTTTTAATGCTTCATCATATAATTTGCAACATTTTACAAACAATTAACAAAAATGGAATTTTGGTATGATATTTATACAGAACACCTTCGAGATGGCATTTTTTCTCTGGGTCACTGTAAGTTTTAACTTTTTAGGTCTTTTATATACGGATTTATAAGAATTTTAAAATAATAATAATATAGGAAATTATTATATCTAATGTATTTCAAATTTTGAATTATGAAATTAGTGGCAATTTGGGATTAACTCTTGCTACCATGATAACCGAGGGATCATAATCACAAGACTTGTATTAGCGTAAGCACTACAATTTATTCATTTTATTCCAAAAATTGATTACATTTTTCTTTCGAGTCACGAAAAAACGAAATTATGTTTTTGTATTATAAATTAAGTATATAACTAATAAGTATATGATTTATAGGGTGACGGTCCAGTTCTTGAGCAGCTACATAACACTGCCTCTTTATGCCATTGTAACTCAGGTAATTAAGTCCATATATATAACACCATTTTTAAAATTATTCGTTTTGCATTAATATACAAATTATTGATGCAAAGTATAACCTAGTGATCTGAATTTGATTTGGATGCATATATGTGTTTAGATGGGGTCAAGCTACAAGAGAGCAATCTTAGAAGAACAATTAGCAAATGTATTAAGGCAATGGCAAGGTATAGTTAGAGACAGGAGGAAGAAAGAACAAACACCAGAAACCGACAACAACGATAACAATAACAATGGCGATATCGATTCTGGCGAAAGTCCGGTTCAGTCAGAAGTTGCTTATGATTTCAGATTTTCGGGTGGACAACCACCGATTTTACAAGATATACCGATACAAGAGCAAACCGAAAGGTGATAGGATTGATGGAAAATTGGGAAGACATTGTTGGTATTATTGATAAGAATTTAGAGATTGCCTTTACTAAGTTTAGCCTGAAGTTTGATTAGAGCTTATGTAATCAAATAAATGAGTGTCAGTGTTATATGGCATGATGGTATCAAATAAATGTCCCCAAACTAAAGCCGAATATAGTAAAATTCGGTTTGATATGGTTTCTACTTTCTAGTGCGAAAGTAACAAAATTTTGTTTGAAGCTATTTTTCTTATTGTGAGATTATTGAGGACATTGTGAATTATATATACTTGTACAAAATGAAAATGTCGCATTGGCAAAGCAGAAAATAGACTTATCTCTATTGTTCTTTGAAAAGCTCGCGACCAATGACAATCCTTCTGATCTCGCTTGTCCCTGCTCCGATTTCATATAGTTTCGCATCTCTTAGAAGGCGTCCTGTTGCATATTCGTTTATGTACCCATTTCCGCCTAAACATTGTATTGCCTGCAACATCAAACCAAATCTATTAGTCTTGAAGGAAAGGTAAACAGATACCCGATATGTGTAGTTACGTGCCCTTCCGAGATTTGCTTTGCTGGTAACCATTAGAAAGACAAGAGACAACACTTAAAACTGGTTTTCGTAATGTGACAGTAACTTTAAGTTGATGCATTCGTCCAGAAATGGACTCAATGTTTACGATTCTAGTATAAAGGAAAGTAAGGGTACTTGACCTGTAAAGCGACCTGCGTTGCTCTCTCGGCCGCACAAAGAATAGTTCCGGCGCAGTCCTAGAAGATAAGCAAATACACAAGAAGGCTAATGTATTAGGTTGCGGTGGTGGTGTAAGAGGACTATTTTCATAACAGAAAACGAGAAGGGATGATTATTTATTATCAAAGTACCTTTGGGTCAACTTTCCCATTGTCACAGTCCCTCGCAACAGAGTAGACGTATGACCTGAGATGCGAAAGGAACAAATTTTTGCTTGAGATACATTTCTATTAGACAAAAAAAAGTTCCAGAGTATTGAGAGAAGTTTTCTACCTTGAAGATTGTAATGCAGTGTACATATCAGCAACTTTACCCTGAAATCCAGCCGAAAGTTTTTAAGAATCTTATGATCAAAGTTGAGATCTTAGGAAACGTTTATGAGAAGGATGATAAAGATCAACCTGTATAAACTGAAATTCTCCAACTGGACGACCAAACTGTTCTCTCTGGCGAATATAGGGAAGTACGGTGTCTAGGCATGCCTGCATAATCCCTAAGGGCCCAGCTGATAAAACAAGTCTCTCCAAATCCAGACCTGACATCAGAACATACACTCCTGCACGTACAAAACCTATGCACATCAGACAAGTATAGAGAGGGGGCTTGTAGCCTCGACTAAAGATATGTACAAAGCGTGTATGTAGCAAAACATATATCCGAGATTAAGTAGTGATTTTCAAGCGGGTAATTAATTATCCCCTTACAATACTTGACATTTCGATCTCAGGTAGTAGATCATCATATTACTAGAAACAAAATAGAACATGCAATGCATATTATCCATCAAACTAGAGAATAAGAGTAAAAACGATGAAGTTGCGGAAATCAAAACCTTTTCCTTCCTTGTCAAGAATGTTTTCTTCTGGAACAAAGCAATTCTCAAAAACAAGCTCACACCTGCTCAGAAGAGACAAATGTCAGAGAAGAAGAGGCAGAGAAAATGGGATTTAATTTACACAGATATTTTTAACTTCAGAGATTGGAGATTACGTATCGCTTCCCCGCATTCCCAGTTTGTCCAATTTCTGAGCAGTACTGAATCTGCAAAGCCACCACAATTAGAAATTGATTTAAAGAACTCACTCTCTGAGTTTTCCACTAAAGATCATAGAAAGTCAGTTTCAACTTTGTTAAACAAGATTGAGAATTCACATACCCGGCCATTCCCTTCTCTATAATGAAAGCCGTGATTCCTTTAGAACCTGCTTTTGTATCAGTTTTCGCGTAAACAACCTGGTCAAACAAAAAAAAAAAGGTAGAAAACTGTTAAAACTTAAAACTAATTAAAATCAACTTCAGACGTTAACATATAAGCTAAACTATATTACCAGTGTTTCAGCAGACGGGCCATTAGTACACCACATCTTGTTGCCATTTAGTATATAACCACCATCTACCTTCTCAGCCTTGCATTTCATGCCAACAACATCTGAACCGGCTGTAACGAATTTAAAAACCAAAATCAGAATACATCAAAATAAACCATTCACTATATGTATGTAAGGATGTGTTTCCTTCTCACACTCAAACTCTTCATCCAAACAATATGTATCTTACCATTGGGTTCACTCATTGCAAGAGCACCAACATGCTCTCCACTGATAAGCTTCATAACATAAAATCATTAGTTAGCTAAACTCTAACGAGATTTCAAAAGAAGACATGCAACAGTTCACATTAATAATCAAATCACTAAGGTGAGATTTCCAACACCGGTGATATTGGCTGATAAACCTGATTAGCATAGCAGTGAAAATATTTGTAAGCTCAGACCATGATACAAAGGCTCAGATGAGACCATACCTTTGGTAAATACTTTTGCTTTTGGGCTGCAGTTCCATTCCTCACCTGTAAAGTAGTCATAAATCTTCTCTCTCAGACTAAAAAAACTCAGATATTGCAACATAGTTTGTGAGCAATAAATTTACCAATTGATTGATGCAAAGGTTGGAATGAGCACCATAAGACAGAGCAACTGACCCCGAGGCACGACTGATTTCCTCCATTGCTATACAATGATACAAGTAACCAAGACCTAGACCTCCATATTCCTCTGCAAGTAGCGGATTAATCCGTTTAGTTTCCCGTTCTAGGCATAAAACAAAACAGGATTGAGCTAATAACAGAAGCATACGATAGGAGAGAAATCTACCTGGTGCAGTGATTCCATGGAGATTAAACTCACCCATTTGCTTCCATAAGTTAACATCCTAGTTAAAAAAATGTATGAAAGATTAGATTTTAAGCAACTAAAAACGTTAGAAGAGGGAGTTAAAAACATAGAAGTGAGACAGACCTTTGGAAATGAATTAGTTTTATCAATTCTTTCAGCATGAGGAGCGATAATATCTTGCGCGAACTTGGATACACTTTCTTTAAACTGCAGTTTCAATGGTAGCCAGAGAGACAATGTCACAAAACTATTAAGGTCGCAAATGCATTCAAGAAAAATGGAAAAAAAAAAAAAAAACGAAAGGCAAATTATAAATCTTCACAACACAGAATCACCAAATTCACTGACACAAATCTTTCAGATCATTTCAAATTGAATGTTTGATTAGCATGTGAAAATCCCAGCACATCATCCAAGAGTAGAAGTCGAAAGCTATACTAGAAAATTCCAAACACCAATTTTGATCGGTTCAAACGAGAAGATGACAAATATCACACACACAAGGAGAAGCACAGATTTATGGAGAGAAGAAGATAGAGAACCTGTAACTGAGTGTCGTCGAAGAGGAGAGAAGAAGAACGAGAAGAGAAAGACCTCCTCCGCGTCTTGACGGCGTACCCGAGAATCGATCTGGCGGAGAAAAACCTCTGCATCTTCGATATTACCGGTAAGTTAAAAGAAGAAAGATCGGCGACACGAGGAAGAAGAAGAATGTGTTCGTGTTAATTACCAAACGGCTTTTTTTTTTTTTTTTTAGTTAAGAGACAATGTTTTTTTTTTTTTTTGTCAACAGACAATGTTCTAATTGAGATTAAGTAGTTCATAAAAATAGAAAAAAATTGAGATAAGGATTGAAAAATTGAAATAGAGAGATATGAGCAATGAGTCATGGTCTATTTAGTTCCGTATACCACTTTGTTAGATGTTACTTCCCCATACCACTGACACTGCTGTTTTTTTTTATACACAGAAGGATCACACTGCTCTATTATATCATTTTCAAATCAACAAAATTTTTTTTTTTTTTTTCATTTTAGGTAAAGATTTTGATGTTAGAAGATATGTACTATATTTCATACTGCAAGTTAAAACAATTGGTTATGACTTCTAAGACACAACAGGAAGAATAAGATGCTAGAGAGAGCTACTACTACTACTACACAATATTTCAATGCTTCTGCTAATTCTATTTCATATCTTTTATGTATAATGTTGCAGTTTCCAAAAAGGAAGTTTTGAAGAGTCGAGACTCGAGAGGAAGAAGAAAGCTGGTTTTTTCTATTAAACAAAACAAAAAACATTGAGGCCCACATTTACACATGTTTGTTTCCTCTATTTGCCCATTTCACCATAGTACAGCTTTGGAGTTAATAGACGCTTTCCCACCATTGAAGAAAAAAAAACCTATTGAAGATACAATTACCGATCAAAAGCTTTCGTCTTTCATTAACTTATATAAACCTGTCTACTTCTTTGCACATAAGATCCTGCAATGAGCAACACACAAACTTCAGATTCAAAGAGCTGATATTAGCTTCAGAGATGTCAAGACTTAGATTGGCTTTTTTTTTTACCTTCCATGAGAGCCTGAAGGTGCCCAAGCACAGAGAATCAAGCAAAACTTCCCAATCTCTGGCTCTGATGATGATCCATTTGATTGTTCTGTGCATATATGCATATGTAAAAGAATCAAAGGAACACCGAATCACCCCCGCAAAATAAACAAACAAGTCAAGGTAGACTATACATATGGGTGGTATCATTCCAAACAAATAAATCACATGTCATTCTGAATCTGAGTCAATTGAGAGATACAGCCGGGGTCTTACTGATCGCTTCTGCCGAGGAAACGAAAACGGACTATCTGATCTTTGTCTACTTGCCTTCTCTTGTTTACTACTGTCATTCATTCCCAGAAGCAACGACGCTGCAAATAAGTAGATAATAGTCAGTAACAAATACTCGTTATTTCAGACCGTTCCTGTTCAGTTGTCTGTACAAGACCCAACAACCCAGACAAGTGAAGGAAATCTAAATGCAACGGTGCAAGTATTAAAGAACCCTTGATGGTTCAGGAAAAAAAAGGAAAGCAAAATCAGTTTCAGTCAGAGGAACTAACCAGTCTCTGACAAAGTATCTAAAGTACCCTCCCTGGTCGACACTGGGTTGTTTTCATTAACTCTGTTTACACCAATTGTCTCCCCGTGATCACCAAGCCTAAGAGAGATCCAATCGTCACTAGGGGTTCCGTTTGACACCTCGGCCTGACTTCTTAAATCAGACTGAGCTGAGGTATCTGGTCTTGTTGGAAGAAATATTTGAAGTGAGGGATCCTCTCTACTAAATGCAAAAGGATTGTTGACTAATCCATCGTTTGCATCTGCTTCGAATCGTCCAACCAATTCTGGAAACATAGGAACAGATGGCATTGATGATGTCTCTGGAGCTATTGTGTAACCACTACTTATTGCAGGGGTACAGTCCAGTGGACCAGGCTCCAAGCCAACTAAACCATCTGATACATCAGCATCAGATGCAAATAGTTGGAACCCGGGTCCGCCTTGGGGTTCCAAAGAAAACTGCCAAAGGCGCATATCATAATCATCGTCAATGTTGGCGAAAAGACCCAAGCCCGAATTGTTCCCTGCCACGGTGTGAGGGTCTTCACTATACGAGTTAATAACAGGTGGGAAATTTACCCCGCCATCAGTTTGATTCTCATTGTAGGCAGAACCCCCAGTGATTACAACATTATTTTCTTCATCAGAATCACTTAAAACGATGACATCATTATTACTCGTTGCTGCTGGTTGATGATTCCTATCAATAAAGTTGTAGCTTGGATCTACATTCATGGATAGAGAATCAAGCTCCATCCCATTGTTTCCAAAATCAAAGGTTCCAACAGCGTCCTGGTTTACGCTAGGGTCATCACCATCCCTACCACTTCCAGTGGCACTACTGCTCATTGGTATAATATTATGCTCCTGATACTCAAGCTTCTCTTGCCTATTACTGGAAGACAAACCATTAATATTAGGTTTGCTAACTTCCCAAATACCATTGCGATTCTTCCTTATTCCAAGTTTTAAAGGGGTTGGACCATCTGAGCAACCTTCTTGTTTAACCGGTGTTAGCATTTCCATCTTGGGTTCAATCTCATCAACTGTGGAGAAGAAACTACCATCAGGTAAGTGCCATTGTGAGAGTTCCCCCAATTCCCTGCGCTCACTTTCACTTTTGAACTTCACACGCCAAGAACCATCAGGCTTCATTTCAATCTCAGTCAACTCTTCATCACAATGTCTCATCTGCGAAGACAATCTTTATAAATGTACTGAAATCAATAAGAACAAGAAATCATCAAGAATTCCACCATCTATAAAAGTTTACCTTTGATGTGATCCGGTTAAAATAAGGATCTATGATTATATGCTCCAGAGAGTAGTTCTTCAGACAAATAGGACATTGCCACTGTAGTTAAACAAACCGCAGACCATAGAAACTCAGTAAACAATGGGAACAACCCAATTATCTAGAGTACAATAGGATACCTGCCTTTCTGGAACGTTGATTCAGCTCCACAAACACCTCAAGGTCAAAACATCCCATGTGCACACAGAGTTTAAATCTCCCAGCAACTTTCATCCTAGAGCCGCTCATCTAGTTACACAACATAAAGGTAACACTAATCAGTCTACAAACGCCTACGCCATCAGAGAGTCAGGAGATAAAAAGAAACTATTGGATTGCAACAACTAATAAAAAAAGAGCTATAATCCACTAAAGCGACTTACAGGACACCGGAGATTGACACCAAAGAAATCTGCGACAACCTCAATATCACTGTCACTGTCGGCATCATCATTTCCAGTTGCACCTCCAATGCATCGGAGTACACGCGCAAGAGCATCTTCAAAAGGTTCACCTTTATCTTCATCCGGAATCATGTTTAAGACCTAGATGAAAAATAGGGGTGCATTTAAAGGAAACTCACAAGAGCGAAATACGTAATGTTCTGAGCATTTAAAAACAGTAGAAATAGTGATGAATATAGTGAAAGAACAAGGAAAACGATTTAACAACACAACAGAGTAACAGACTACACTTAAGAAAACAATATATAGCCAACCAATTGTAGTCAATTACGCCATTTAGTGACTCAGCTCAGGATCAAAGAGAACAGATCTCAAAACTATATATAGCCAACAAATTGTAGTCAAAACAGGAGTAGGAAACAAAGTCAACAACCTAGAACATTCAGTGCAACCATAGAGTAACCCTCACTCAGATTAACTTGCTTCGCATACACACACTATGTCTTCTACACGCAGTCACGCACAACAATGCCATATTTAAAATCAAATTTTTTATTTTCCCCACGCATTGACTGAAGTTTTTAATGTTTCTCATGCAACATCTAATCAGTAAATACAAGTACCTGTTGGAGAGTCCGTCGCTTCACAAGTCTTACACCCAAACAAAAACTGCGGGAGTCACATCCACTCAAGGATATCTTGTTAATTCCATCTCTAACACAAGGTGTAATCTGCCAAAATAAAATGTAATGGGTGCATACAAGATTACGAACAGCTTGACATTAATTTGAGAGAGAGCAGACAATTCAATGAGAACAAAGAACTATTACTGAAAAGGGATGAAAAGCATACAATAGGTCCATCATCGCGGCCATTGGCCCCCAGAAGCTGTGACCCGGGTCGGTTAATAGCACGAACAGGCACACCTATAAAATAGTAACAACTTAACCATGAATCCATATCAGAAAGCAGAGCGTACATATAATGAGATCTGCAAACCATACTTATTCTATGAAACCCATGTTCCTCATATTTCTAAGAACACGCTAATACCACTAACTTAATTTGCATATCAGCCTTAACTATGAATTGACTCAGATACATACCATTGACTTGAAGATCTGCATATTGAGGCCACTGCATCCTAAATAGAACTTTGTCATTCAAGAGCATACACCAAGCCTGAAAACAAAACAAATTGAACTGCCAATTAGAAAACACACACGTCTAAGTAGTCTACATATCTAACCTACTTATAAAACCAACAACCTGAATATCGTACTCATGTTTCACCAATAAGTCTTTGTCTGTCCTTGTTATTTGAAATGTTCTGTCCACACTCTGCATTGGGTTTGAACTGAAAATTGTGTCGGAGTATTAGAAGAACACACATCAGTTATCATAAAGTTTAAGAAGTTGTTGTGAATATGGCTAGGAAACAGCCATATTCTTTTTCTCTAAATACTAAAATAAAACATCGGTCCCAGCTCATAAAGCTAAGCGACTACGGTTCACCTCATCCCTTAATTGAAATCAACCCCACATCCAAAAACAGTATGCCGACCGTAAGACTTAAATCTAATGCTTCTTCCCTCCCCAGAAAACACAGATGCACAAAGCAGATGATAATTAGAGATTGCATGCAATAAAACTAATTTAACTGCAGGATGGAAGTAATGTATTTGAATTTCAAGCGGAAGTGCTTCAGCCATCCAAACTAATAAGTACAGAAATCGAAACAGGATAGCTACAACAAAAGACTTGATGTACTTACCCATCAGTTGGGATCGTCGTTGCAGTCATCTTCACCGGATACAATGGATGCGCCATTGTGACCCAAAATCTGCACACAAAAGACCATGTAAGACGCTAAAACTAAAATAATGTCATAACATGGTAAACCTATATATAACATTCGATTTTCGCAACAGAGAAAGTATTGAAAACATTGCTGGACATATATGAATAAAATCAAAACACAGAGCAAAAAAAAGTGGCATGTTTAAGTGAATCCACCCTTTTCATGTTCTTTAAAAACACAATTGTCTGCATCAAGAAGAAATACAAATAAAATTTTACTCCAACCAGGAGAAAAAGGGAAGTTCATGAGCATCTTACGGGTCAACACGGGTAAGTCGGCAGATTTCACAGTAAAATGATTCAGGAAGAGGTGGATGAACTTCCATAGGCTTCTCCGGGATAATGACACAACCAACATGCTCCCAGACATGGCATCTCGGATCCTCGCACTGAAATTCACAAAATCGTTTATTGAACCCAGAAGGTAACATTTTAGTTATCCATAATACACCAATAGGTAATGCTAACTCAAACAGGAGTTGAGAGTTGAGACGAATATTCGGTCACAGACTTACCTGTATCATTGACTCTGTCTCTAGTGAGCTTCCACAAAGACACCGAACTTTAGTATCTGGTTGAAAGTGATCTTCAATTTCTCCCTTAACTTTAACAGTACTGATATCTGAACTAACTTGTCCTTTTGATGCTACGTCACTTGCCCCACATGCTTGCATTTTCCTACGGAAAACACAAAATTATTGCGCTAAAACAAAAAGTAAATAACTGTGCACAAGGAGAAAACATGGCATGTCATAAGACATCCATGGCTAAAACATACACTCACCTATATGCATCCTCCACTAGTTTTGCAACCTTTTCCCTTGCCACGGCATCCTTTTTAGACCACAACCTAGCCGCTGTCAGTTGGCAGTAAGTAATAGAGAACGCTTATCAGAACACTCAAAATTTCCCTTGAGAACAGTTCTCGCATGAATAAAGAAACACGAGTGCACAATATACCATGCTCATCAGAAAGAATGGTCAAGATCCGCTCGACAAGGTCCTACACCAGGAAATGACCAAACAACGACATTAAAGTTCACATTAATGACAATCCAAACTAGAATCCCAATTAACGGTAGCCAATGAACTTCATAAAATTTCCTGATAGCTAAACTATAATCTTCTATAGAAGAATACAAAGATACCTAACCAGTATAACCAGTGAAAAGAAAACAACTACTAATTTCAGATGAAACAGACAACCCTCTTACCAAGTACATAGATAAACAAGAAATTCACTATTAACAACTCCGTTACAATTTATGACAACATTATCATCTATGAGGTGATAATTAACAGAGTTACAACCATAACTATAGCAAGTGAAAAGTATTAACCTGCTTCTTTCCCTGTTTAGAAAGTCCCAGCTGATTAAGCACATCCTTAAGCTCTTTTATCCGAAAATACGCAAGTTTCTCCTGATAAAAATACATCAACATAAAACTTGAGCTCAAGTCAAGTAAAAAAAACCCAAAAGTTAAAAACTTGGAACTTTCACAAAAAAAAACTCAAAACCTTCATGAGATAGATCATCATTTTCTAAAATCAATTTTTCAGGACGATCATAAGCAAATTACTAAAAACCAAGCTCATTGAAACCTCTTCTCAAAATATCTTTATCAACCCGTCACAATCATTTTAAACCCAGTACATAGCAAAAAGCATCAACATCAACATCAATACCTTGCAACTAGAGACCAAATCCATCTCTTAAACCCTCACAACGACGAGTCAGTTCAAATCACAAAGCCACAACCACCGGAAAATTAGTCACAAAGCCGGAAAATTCACAGCGTACAATTTCCATACAGCAGCCGATCTGAAACAAACAAAGAGATAATCAATTTCTCCTTCAACGATTTTCCAAAATCAACAAAATTCGACGAAATTGAACAATTTACCCAGAGATCGGATACTGCATATCAAATCATCAAAAAACTTATAACTCAATTGGAAAAACTTTCAGTGCTCTACAAGATTCAAACAACGCCGACAAATTTCCCAGTTTTCGGCTTTTTTTTGACAAAGGAGACGAAAGAAATCGATTTTACAGATAACCGGAACAAAAGCCGATTTATTAAATCCGGTTTAGTTTACTGCAATACGTCCGGGTTTAGTTCCAGTGTGGTAACATGTACACGAACCACACTCACCTAACTTGCGTCTTTGTCTTCTTCTCTCACACAATCGTATCGTATCGTATCGTATCATATGTTTTGATACTTTTATACTTTCTAGTATCATCTGTTGTGTTATGATCTCGCCACGTCTAAAGATATAAGCCGTTGGATTAATATGGTCGGTTTATGATTTAATTGAGAGATCGTGGTTTTGTCTCCCAAGCACGAAATTTGTTGCTGTCTCTCGAGTAGACTCACTTACCTGATATTATTTTGTGTGAAATATGAGTACCTCATTATCATTGTGCTTCAATTTTTATCTATTTTTTAAAGAATTAAAAGCAAATAACATTTTTTCTTACTATGTAAATAACAATCATAATTTTTTTTCCCAAAAGTTGTCATTATCTTTTATTTATAACTGTTTTAAATCATTCTGAAAAATGCTTTTAAGAATCCTAAATTTCTCGTTCCTATTTTTTTTATATACTATCAGCTGATCTGGCCGACCTCGGTTGGAACGCACCAAGGTGCTACAGAATAGATTACTCCTGTAATTCAACGGTTCAACGATTTAACAGACACTATAAACTCCGAGTAGATTCGGGTCGAACGGACCATAAGATCCATGAAATATAGAATTGGATCATCACACTGCCTGATCCGAGTTTGGAGTGTCTTTAGACTAATGTTATGGGGTAGTTAGGCTGCCTATATTTATGACTACCAGGTAAACCAATTGGACAAAGGTTCAACCTGATAGAGTTCTCACACAAATGTGTTTTCTGTTTCCAGAAAAAATTGAACTCGAATCTAAAAGTTTATTTATTATACACACTTGGTCACACTCTTCTATATATATATATATATAGATATAGATTAATATAAATAAATAGCTATGAAAACATAAGCAAAGAGATGTTCCATATATGCAAAAATATATGGGACATTTTTTTGCTTATTTTTGCATATATATGTATTTATATTATATCTGGTCCAACTGATAGAGTTTTCACACAAATGTGTTTTCTGTTTTCAGAAAAAATTGAACTCGGATCTGGAAGTTTATTTGTTATACACACTTATCACTCTCCTATATATATATATATATAGATTAATATAAATAAATAGCTATGAAAACATAAGCAAAGAGATATTCCATATATGCAAAAATATATGGGACATTTTTTTGCTTATTTTTGCATATATATGTATTTATATTATATCTGGTCCTAATAGATAAACCAATATCTAACATACTATATAACAAGAAGCAATTTGTGAATCCATATTATGGAACTTTCAAAGATGTTCTAACACGTACGACATTAGGATTAGGATTTAGTACTAATTGCATGTAGTTTTCGTACGTTGGATATTAGTCTTTTTACTAGGGTTAAAGCCTAAATGAAACAGATAGATATACAAAATAAGCTAATACAGAATATATATATATATATATATACATGAAAATATCAAATCAAAGGTAACTAGAGAAAACAAACTTCAAATTTAGACGTGTGGAAAATTGTAACAATGAAATATTTTTTTGAGATTTTGAAACTTTATTTTCAATTTTTAATAAATAAAAATGTCACACAAATGATGGCTTTCGTATTTATATACAACCGTGTATTGTGTTTTATGAATCCTTTTTTTGTATAAGAAAATTATGTTAAAAAAAAAAAGAGAAACAAAAAAAACTTGAAACTTTGCCTAAGAAAATTTGAAGAGATGCAGGTAGGGTACCTCAGCAAATAAGTTTTAATAATGGAGTCAATCAAAAGATACAGCTGAACAACCAACATTGTATATCTCTTGAAATTGAATTATTTCGGTTAATCTCTTCTTTTTTTTTGTAAGAACTAAAAGAAAGGCATGAAACTTATGTTGATGAGAGGAAGAAAGAACTGGTGTAATGTATTTATATCCAAAATTTTCAGTATAGTTTTGTCAATAATATCAATTTTACAGTCAAAACAAAAATCAATCTTATGTTTTTAGGTAATACATTTAAAAAACATTATATTCAAGGTCAATGTATTAGTTATTTAGTCAAGCGCGTTATATCTTGCTATTAATAAATTATTTTAGCGCGTTATTTATTTATGTTATTGAGTTATTTTTTTATTTTTTTATTTTTTGGTGATTTTTGAGTTAGTTATTTATTAGTATTAAGTTTTTGAATCTAATTAAGATGACTTTATAACATTATTTCCCAAAAAGTTATATGATTCATTTTTAACTTTGACCTTTATCATTCCTATGGAATTAGATTTTGAATACAAGTTTTTGCATTTTTGAATGATGGGTTTCATACTCATTATAGAGCATTAATGCACCATCACATATGATAATAGACAAAAGTGTGTAAATTATAATGAACTAAAACAACAAAAATATTACATAACTTATAGAGTTTTTTTCTAGTTTATATATTTATTTTTTTATTTTATAGAGGTTTATAAATTTATGGGATTATTGTAGATTTTGCCATTTTTCATAGAAATCTTTTGAAATTGCCATTTTTACTAAAATCTTACGGATATGCCATTTTCTAACACTTAAAAATGTACGTATTTCGGATTTTTTTTGGTAAAAATACGTAGTTTATACAAAATACTAAACCCTAAGAACAACCACAACCGACTAAACCCAAACATAACGAATAAAACGCATGTTAAATCATATTTCCGTAGCCTGAAAAAGGACAAAATCCATAAACTATTCAAAAAAGGGCAAAATCCACAAATGCCATCCCAAAAAATGGCAAATTCATAATTGATTCTAAATTTATAGAGGTTTGACTATAGTGTAGATTTGACGGTTGACATTATCTGGAAATAGTTTTCTTTTATTCTGTCGAGTGTCGACAATATTATTTGGAAACATAAGCATTAAGCACCATACACGTATAAAAATTTAACTCCCAAGTCCCAAGTGATGTAAGTTCACAACAATTCAACCATTTATCCCAAATAACCAAAATATTTCCCATCTTTCAACACCCAAAAGCCTCAGTCCATTGTAAACGCGCTTAAACATCAGCCTCAGGCCACAACCGGGTACGATGAACATGTTGCAACACCTACCAAAATTAAAGGAAAAAATCAATGGGAGAGAATTAACCCGAACTAAACCAAAATCGAAGCTAGTTAAAAGAACTTACCACACATGTTCTTTCCCATTTCCATCTTGAAATAGCCATTGTCTCCCCAATCACCTCCCCATGAGTTCTTTATAAGCCAATACGGGACATCGTCTTCAACTCCATAACCAACTGCTAACACTGCATGGTTTACATCCTTTTGCCACCAAAAACCCGGTTAACTTACTAAATGTTGGTAATTGTAACATTTTGAATGTTTTTATGGTTTAGAAAAGAAAATAAACTCACCATTGGAGTGTTTCCACAAGTATTACTAGTAAAAACTCCCTTCTTGTAAAACCGAAACTCATGTACAACCTCAAACGCCACACTCACTGGCCTTACCAACCCGACCGCGTGCTTCAATTCATCTTCTGCACCCTATTAGTGTTTTCAATATATTAGAGAATGTAAATTTTTTGCAGCTAAAGTGTGAGTTCAATTACAAACTATAGGCTTTACCAGGGTAATGTTAACAGAGTCAAGGACTTGTACACCGATGTTTGTCGCCGAAAATTTGCAGCCACCGTCTTTTCCTGTGTAAGGATAAGCCTCCTCTGTGTCGAGCCCACCGTTATATTTAATGTATTCAAAGGCTTGAGAAGGAAGTCCACCATGACAACCAAAGTTATTAAAAGTTCCAGCACAATCAACAAGCTGTTGCTCGGACAAAGATATTCCTTTTCCAAATGCTTGATGATAAGCTGCTTCAAGAGCTCCCGTCGTGCTGAATCGAAACATTGATCATAAATCTCTTGCTTACATGGATAAATCACTTAAAAATCTTATCATAGACTTTACCTAAATGTCCAACAAGATCCACAATGTCCTTGTTCTTTCACAGGACTAACAATACCATCTTCTCTCCAATCTTTCTGCAGTTTACACAATCTAAAGACTCAGACCAAACATCTAAAGCATCTACCTTCAAAAGAGCCAAAGATAAAAGGAAAGGACGGAGAATGGTTACTGTCTCTGGAACTGCAGCTTCAGTAATCTTGTGGCTACCCTTTAAAGTAGCAGAACAGTTTTGAGCAGCTCCAAGCTTATATCTTTGAAACTCTTGCCATGTCAAATCAGCAAACTCTGTAAAACAGAACAGCTTCATTAACTTAAAAAACACTAAGCTAGCTCAGCCATTATCACAACATTCTTGAACTATGTGAATTGAGACAAGAAGGCTTAAAGCAAAGCATTAGAGAGATAAGACTTACGATTAAGAGAGAGTTTATAAGATAAGCCTTTCTTATTAGTGGATCTGATTAAATCAAGATTCTCTTTAAAAACAGAGAATCTTAACTTCATCTCTTCCACACTCTGATACTTCTTCCCATACCTTCACAAACCCCAAAATGTAAATTATCATAGTTCAAAACAAGTCAACGACGAATATAGATTGAGAGTGTACCGGTGAGTGAAGCGAGTAAATGAGAGAACATGACGGGACTGGCCTAGGATCTGGACAACGGTTTCTTCAAGCTCGTGGAGATTGTCGGAGACCATTTTGATTGGATTTGATTCATCGAATCTGATCTCTTTAGTCGCAGCCGCCGCGAAGAGAATCAGAAGGATTGATGAAGATAAGATTAGTTTTACAGACATGGCTTCTCTCTGGTTCTTTACTCTTACAAAAGCTTCTAACTGAAGAAGAAGAAGAAGAAGCTGCCAGTTTACACGTGGTGAGGTTTTATTGGTTTGATTTTTGGCTTTAATAATTGGATTTCTGACGTGTGTGGTGACGTTGACATTTATAACGGATCATTGTTTAGTTATTGCACTATCGTGTTGGAAATAGGAATCTGTGAGAAGATATATTAAAATAATGACAAATAAAAACTAATTTTACAAAAAAATTCTGTTATTTTTTAATAGTGAGGTGACTCATAATGTGATGAGAGATTTAGAATTGGAAGAATATGTTATTGGTCTCCTAATGATAAAGAATTATGATACATATGTTTATATTGAAAGGAGAATGGTAAACCTAATTTTCTAATATACACCAATACATAAAATGAGATAATTATTAAAAATATATATAAAAAGATATTCTAGATACATTTACAGTAACCATGAATTTTATTTGTTTTCAAGTCTTGTGTGTGAGATTTTAGGTGAATTATTAGAGTCCAAAGCCATTTAGACCAATTTTTGCTGTCGTTTGTTTGCTTGTTCATTCGTTAAGGAAGATATATGATATAAAATTGGGAATCACTCTACAATTTATGAACAAACGGTGATCAAGAACTGATTAACAAAGTTTTGGCGAAAAATAGAAACGAAGGTAGAGGCGGTGGTGGTGTTTGTGATTGACTTTCTCAATTTGTGGGGCGATTGACTCTCTCAATCCCGGGAGAACTAGACTTGAATCACACAAACTATACTAATCTCAAGAATCAAATGAATCTCTTAAATAAAACTTAAAGACAAACTGTTTAAACAAAGATACTCTTTAAATAAAAAGAAAACAACTTTTTATATTTCTTAGATGACTCAAAAGTGAATTGTACAAAGGACGAAATGAGCTTTGTATAGAACTCTTACAAGTGTAGATTAACGTTCTAAAAGGGTAGAAATAAGATAGAAATCATACAATACATGCAAACTAGCCGTTGGGCAATAATGAAAAAATTGATCAAAATATGAGAAGTGGTGTCTCCTTTGAATCTGGTCGGTTTAGGGGGTAGGTGAGCTTCTCTGGAACATTCTGGTCATCATAGAGGTACCCCAAAATACATCAGTCTTGGTGAGAGTTATTGCCCCAAGTGAGAATGCGGCCATATAAGGAAAGTGTGAAGACTGTTGGATAATTCAAGACTTGAAAAAGAAGTTATCTCTTGAAGAAAAAGCTTCTAGAGATAAGAGAGGATATACACAAATAAGTTTTAGATAATGACAAAGTATCTAGATAGGTTTTGTGTTTAACCTAATCCTAATAGAATTGGGAGATGCCCAAGTTTTATACAAATACAAGAGTCCACTGAGAGATGTTCTATGAGACTTAGAGAAGAGATTTAGTTTTGTGAGAGTTTCTAAATCTAATAAAGAAGTGGCGTTATTTATAATTATAAGTCTCCACCGGGTTCTTTGGAAGTCTGCTGACTTGTAACTTGAATATCTTTCTCGTGTGGAAAGCTTTTGAACCAATTCCACTTCTCCGTGATTCCTTGATAAGTTATGTTTCTGGAATAAGTTGTTTTGTAGCGTAAATCCTTCTGGTTGGGCTTGGAAGCACATATGTATTTGGTACATTTGGGTTGGTTTTCTCCAATGGTCTTGGTCGTCTGATTGGTGTCTCTTCCATGCTCTTGAGTTGGTACTGACTTGATGACCTCATCAGTATATGGGTTTTTTTTTTTTTTTCCTGGTTTAGCATTGGAAAAGTTTCTTCCAATATGAGATTTTGATTTCAAGTACCAAATGGGTTTTCAGTGTATTTATGCATGTTAATTGGGATAAAAGTCTATGGTATGTCCCGTTTTAATATTAAAAAACACAGGATTCAGATTTAAATATATGTGTAAATAAACTCAAGTTTTTGAGGGCAAGCCCGTTAGGATTGAAGAGTTTTAAAAGTTTAGTCCGACTGATCTCGGATCAGCCCGAATTTTTTTATATATAAAATAAATTGTTTCTCTTTTAAACTTGATGCGAGAAATTTTTTAGAATGCATTGTAGGAGAAGAAGATCTATAATTCATTGAAGCGGATACAAATCTTGCCTCTACAACATAATGTAGTTTGAAATCTTTTGTTTAATGTTTTATTTGATATTAGTTAAAACAATTTATTTGGTTTTAAACTTTTGTTTTTAAATTATGTTGTGTTTAATGAATACTAGTGGTTCCATTGGCTTATTTTATATATAGTCATTATTTTCAAGAGTTGTTATAAACTTATAAGTTTGTTTTTCTTTCTTGAAGAGAAGCCTGAAAAGGCCATATAGATCTGTTAGGGCAAAAACGGGCTTTCAAATAAAGGCTCAAAATTTTTCCGGACCGGATTCAAATATATACGGGTTTACAGATTTAAGGTCACGTGGGGCCGGACTAACCCAATTGACAAGCTTAGGTGTATTACACTTCCTAGAACCTCCAAATGTTGTGTTCTTTTAATAAATTTAGTTCGAGTCTCATTTAACATAGATTTAAGTTTTAGGATTTCGATATACATAAAGATATATGGAGTTAAGCAAATTTTATTTTATATACACATATAGGGTGAGTGATGTTTTAAAAGATCAAAGAATGTGTCAAGTAAAGTGAAGTGAGTCATAACTCTAATCCACCCCATATTGATCCAAAATATGCCTGAGAAGGCGGGTTTGATAAATTGCTTTTTCCATTGGATGCGTTATGCTTCAATGTTTATTAGTATAAGCCTTGATAATTTTGTAAGCTGGTCCTTAACAAATGTATGATTACATAGACAAATAATCATATATATGAAAGTTGGCTAACTTTTTCCATATGAGTGTCACATAATCACACAAAAAATGACATGTGTCATTCTACATTATTTTAAAAATAATGAGCAAAACTAAATGAGAAAAAAAAAATTAAAGTTCTTTATTGCAAATCCTCCATCAATCCTACCCTTAAATTATTTCTTCAAAATAAAATCAAAAATTACAAAATTCTGTTAATAAATTAAGCCCTACTTTCATTCTATTTTTCTTATTTTACTAATTTTTTTTATTAATGGTCAATAATCGTTACTCGATAATGACTAAAAATTTATTTGTGTTGTAGTTTAGTTGTTTGCTACCTATCTTCTTATTAGTTTAGTAATTTTATCTTAAATATTTTCTCAGTATTATGTTTTGTGGTTCATATACGATTTATCATATGCTTCCTCTCTTTTCATTTTTCTGCCTTATGGTAAATTGGTAATATTGACATGCAAGTCTTGTCAATAGTGGGCATTTGAACGTTAGACATATCACAAAATTCAAGACATGACAATTTCTCTTATATAGCTATATGCAATGACAGAAGATCTAAAAGTGTTGAATAAAATGACTCTTTAATTTTTGCTTTCTTTTTCTTCTTTTCATATAAAAACTCTTGAGGTCTTGTTCAAATTATCTCAATCTAGTGTTTAATCATGAGCCTATAATGAGGTGGTTGGAGTAAGGAGAGTACATAGAGCAAGAGATTTTTAATTTATAATCAAGTTAGGCAAGTTTTAAACCACACAACTAACATAATTACATATTACTGTATCAAAATATTATCTATTGTTGTTGTATGTATTCATGACAGAAAAAATATTAAGATCTTAGATACAATATTTGTTGTATTAAGATCTTAGATACAAAATATTATCTATTGTTGTTGTATGTATTCATGACGGCGCAATCCAATAATATAATTAATTTTTTAACAGTAGTAGTTGGAAGCACTTTAGTAAACATATTTGCCAAAATTTTACTTGAACGAATATGTGTAACTACGTACATCGTACACAAGATTTGTTTACACTTTCTTTTTTTTTGCTTCAATGATTGTCGTTAAATACAAGACCAATGACTTTTTCCTCCACAATGGTAACATCTATTTGTCACAATCACATGTGTTGTTTCTCTTATTTGTTATCATCTTGCTTTTCCCACCTTGGTGAGAATATGACTTCTAGCTAGAAACAAACACATAGTACATGAATACTCAGTTTTAATATCATTACAAAATAGCGATTTATGTATTGTTACTATTGTCAACTTACCCTTGACTTTTTAACAGCATTTCTAAATTGACAAACGCTAATATAAGAATCAATTACGGATTTTGCCATTTTTTTAGAGTGGCATATGTTGATTATGGCATTTTTGAATAGTTTGTGGATTTTGCCATTTTTCAAGCAACAAAAATCTGATTTAACATACGTTTTACCCGTTATGTTTGGATTTAGTCGGTTCTATTTGTTCTTTAGTATTTAGTATAGGGTACATATATTTTGCAAAACAAATTGTAAATATGTACATTCTTAAGTGTTAAAAATGGTATTTTCATAAGAAGTTAGTAAAAATGGCATTTTCGAAAAAAATTAAAAAAAAGGTATTTTGAACAAGAATCCCATGATATAATGAATTTCAGTGGGAAAAAAAGTCTTTTATTTTTAAAGAGACACCAAGAAGATTGAAATTTTTTAAAGAATTTCAATGGAAACTCTACTTTTTTCAAAATTCAAAGTAATTTCTTCTTTTAAAAAAACTTTGTTGGAAAAAATCAATAGCTTAACTATAAGAAAATCGCTAAGTCAAATGAACTAAGAAAATATCCACCAGGTAACTAACAAAATCAAAACCACCCTTGACCTCTCCAACAATATCTCTCTTAACCTTTAACTTCAAATGGTCTCACTCACATCTCTCTCAACGTTAGACAAAAAAAACAACAAAAACAAAAAAAAACCAAGAATGGTGATTGAGAGTAGATGTTCTACTCTCAATCACCATTCTTAGTTTCTTTTGTTTTTGTTGTTTTTTTGTCTAAGATTTTGAAAATAAAGTTCACTTTGAGAAATTTCGGTTTGGTTATTTCTGTCCTCTAGCACTAGTGTGCAGCTTATAGACGTAAGGAATAAGCAACTACTTGAGACAGTATCTAGAGCAGAACATTGGTAGTGATGTGACAGAGATCGTTGATGAAGTATCATGTAGATTATATTACACGTTGTAACTTTGAGTGTCTGTACTTAGGATTTGATAGTAAAGTGAA